ACAGTCTGGACACACAAAGAACAGACTAGAACAGAAGGGGGGGGAGGGGGCGACACTGGTATTCAAGAGTATGGAGATAAATCGAAAGGTTTACTTTTAAATCCATGACAGGATTTTAATTGAGGCGTTAAAAGAACTTTTAGAACACAAAACGTGAGTCTAAAAAAGAAAGCCTAGTGTACTGTACATGTCTCCTGGAGGGGGGGGTGCAATGTATCTCGTCGCTTGTTGCAGGTAGGACTGTATTGGGTGCTGCACTGGTGTTCCCATCTTACACTGTATCCCGGACAGCAGGGGAAGGGAAGAGGACCCGTCCATATTTCAGCTGAGGGTTTCAGGTACTGAAGTGTGCCCGAGCTGTCTTGTCACGGCAGCGGTTCTCCTTGTACGTGTGCCGTCTTCCCTGGACGGAGCGTCTGCTCTCTTTGCGGTGCCATTTTGTGTATCGCGAGCACTGAAACGGTCTACACGGCGGTGGTGAGGCAACGCAATCTCACTGTATAGGTTACGCGTTTGTTTGCATGGACACGCACGTCCGCAAGACAGAACAGCACCGGCGGCGGGGCTGGGGTTTTTTTCAAAGGGAATCCGAGGCGTATTTTGCGGGGATTTCGGGAGACCGACGCTGTCTTTTGTGTCTTCTTCGCGATGAAATATCCGGGGCCCGACTCTCATTTTTTTTTTTGTTTTCTGTTTGTCCCGCCTCCCCGCTCAGCTGTTTGGGCGTTTCGTCTGTCAATATACGGGTCTGGGCCCACTGATTGGTAGGGAGCCCTGTAAGGCTTGTAGTATTTGTATCTAGGGTTAGTGTATTTTTTACGAAGGCCCATCTTCGCTCTGTATAAACCATTTTATGCACTGATTTTACATTTCACTTCATGATACTGTGTTTGGCTTCTATTTTTGTTTAACCTTAAATTTTAGAGTGGGCGCCTAATCGCGCGTTGCTACGGAGAGCACGTATCTTCCGTGTACTCTTAAAAAAATGAGAAAGCAGCTTTCTGCACCAGGTTGTTTTTAATTGAAAAATTTTTTAGACTGTTCCTTCCATTTGCTGGCTCTGCTGGGGAGATAAAAAAACATATTTTCGTCGCAGAGCCTTTTAGACAAATGCAGAGATCATGCCTAACAGATGTTTATTTCTGTGTACCAACAGCTCCGCAGTGAAACTTTGTTGGAGTTTAAGATGGTATATGTGATAAGGAATTATATTCTGGTCTCAGTGGTTGATACGGTCATTTTTCATTGGGATAGACGTTTCTGGATAGTGACTGAGACATGAACAGCCCCGTGTGAATGGACTGTGTTTTTGTTATCCTAACAGATACACTCCCAGTTTATGCTACTGGAGACAGCACTTTTTCTTGGTTATTTCAAGGTTGTTTCCTCGTAGTGCATAAACGGGCATAAGGATTCAGATGAAGCAAACGTCATTTTAAAGGTGTAAGTTGTAATGAATCATAAAAGCAACACAAGTACAGTCAGTAATATTTCCAGTGGATCCAAACATAGCGAGAGTCTGACAGCTTACAGCTTATAGCCCTCACAGCAGCTGTACTGAAAACTGAAATCTGCACAATACTCTGCATATTGTTTTGCTAGGAGTTTTTGTCCAATTTGAGCAGCCAGCCCCACCTGCTTTCTGCCCACAGAGTGCACCAAGGGCTTGAGCTGTGTCATGTTGCAGTCCTGGAGGTACAGGACTCCCGGTTTCGATTCTTCAGGCCCACAGGGTATTCAGAGCCTGTACGCTGCTGACTGCTGACACTGCTGTCATGTTTCATGTCGCCAGACTATTGCTTTCTGACAGATGCCAGGCAATTTGAGGTTTTCCTCATGCGGTGCTTTGTGGATTTATTTCCCCCCATTACTGCTTTTGTCAAAATGTTGTGCGGCAGTGATAACGGTTTTCTCATTATATACGTGCAGCGGGAGACTGTGGACAGGCCGTCTGCGGGCCGGATATGATGTTCTCGGGTTCCAGGTTTCGAATGAATTTGAACGAATGGATGCAAAGTTAAAAGTTAATAGTGCAGAGGAAAGCCCCGAAACCCTGCTGTTTGTTTCGCTCGCCAGCCTCACGGAGTGTGTTCTCCCGGTAAACTCCCCCCCCCTCCTCCTTCAGGCAGCCGGAGCGGTTTCCGTGGCGATGGACCCTCCCAGCCCTGCGGCGCCCGGCGGGCGGGACGAGCGGCGGCGGCAGGAGGAGAGGCTGCGCCGCGAGGAGGCGTACTACCAGTTCATCGACGGGCTGAGCGAGGACGAGTACCGCCTCATGAGGGACAGCAACCTCCTGGGCACGCCAGGTACGCGGGTCCCCCTGCCTGGCCCGGTGACACTGCCCCCTGCTGGGCGGGGGTTTGAGGCTGCGCTTGCTGGGAGATCAGATGAGGTCGCTTCACTGGCCCGATACAGTTTCTTGCATTAGGAGTTCGTCTTTTCGCAGACCCCAGCTTGCTCTCCTTGAGACACACAGACAGGGAGAGAGAAGCTC